TCACTTCTCAGGTTTAATTGATCGGCTGCATCATGTGTTATATAGTTGGTGTCTGATGCTAGATCAATTAGAGTCCCAATCTTTTGTCCTGCATTAGCTGTGACCTCTAATAGCATCATGATGACAGGCCACTCCACCAAACCATTCTTTGCTAGAAGGTTGGGCTGATTGGACACAGATGTTTTAGCCACTGCATTACAAAAGACATGACGGCACTTTTCTGCCTGTTCAGGTGGGAGGCCTTTAATGAAATCTTCTTGAGCTTGGGTGTAGCGGCCTGCCGCTTCACCTCCCACTGTAATGTCTTTGCGCCTCTGGATAGAATGCTCTCGGGCCACATCTGCCCTTGGACAGAGATAATAATGGTGCTCTGCAGTGTGTTGCTCCTTGCAGTCTGATCTTCTGCACAGAAATTCAGTTTTACAGTTCTCATACTCATTGTGAATCTCAATGATTCACAATGACTGAATCATTGTGAATCAAAAGACAGCTTCCTTCTTTTCTGGCAGCTTGAGCATACGAAACTTTCTACAGAAATACAGCCTTTTTCTGTTTCCCGTCTCCACAAACCACACATCCTTGAGACATGTTTGTTGACTGAATAGAAGTTCTGGTTCGGGCTTGCCGTGATTCAGACCTTGGTTTTGACTCCTCATCCTTCAATTGATCCAGCTTTTCATAAATTGCTTCTTGACCTTGAAGAAATTTCAGGAGGTAGTCAAATCTTTTGTCATGTTCAGCCTCAGTCCCTTTACTGGCTATATGGAGAAGCCATTCCTTTTTCAGGCTGTCTGGAAGTTTACTCTCTATTGCTTTTGTTATAAGGGGGTTCTTTATAGCACCAGTTGCACCAAGCTCTTCAAGATCTGTCAGAGCCTTTTCAACAGTTTGAATTAGCTCAACAATCTTCCTGGGCTGGTTGCCTTTAACTGGTGGAACTTTTTGAAGCTCCTCCATTATTCCAGGGCAATAGTTGTTTTATTTCCAAAGCGATTCTCTAGAACCGGAATATTTCATCAGCTGTTGTGTAAGTTGTGAGACGATGGTCTCGTACTATTTTCTCATCCACACTATCGAGAAGATGATACTTTTAACCTCTTTTGATCCAGTAGGTTCTCCCTGCATCTGGAGCGCTTCCAATCTTTCTTCCACTGATAAAACCCTCTACACACCCCAGTGAATTTTGGTAGAGCAGCAGGCTTTAGTTTAATGGCTGGGGCCACAGGAAAACTCATAGAAGTGCTTAACCTTTTGGTCCCTTCTTTGGTTTGTTCTTCAATAAATTCTGCTTTTCTTAAAGTTAGTTTTGGTAATATGGTCTCAAGAGCTCTGATACGACTCTGAAACTGATGTTGCTCTGCATGAGGAGCCCAGCACTTCCAATGTTTATGCGCTGCCTTTGCTGTCTTTACAAGTTCTTGCAGATGCTCTATCATGAACCCATATGCATCTGTGCTTTTACTTGGATTCACAGTGCTCACATAATCTGCGTGTGACTCTGCAGTTGTTATAGCTTGTGTCAGTTCATATTCCCCAAAATTTTCCCATAATGTCTTTTGTATTAGATTTTTAGCTCTTGCATTTTTTTCTCACATTCTGTGGTTGTTTTATCCAAATCAGCCTTTTGTTGTTCACTTAACACCTCTGGATCTGGATTTTCAGCAGCATATTGTTCTGCAACATCATCATTGGCTTCAAGGACTTTACTGGCTTCTACTGTGAGCTTTGTGAATTTGTCCCTGAGCTCTTCCTCAGACATCATTGTATGCATTCGTAGCACATTATTGGCTAAACGGGAGAATTGACGCTTCACTGTTGCTCTAGCACTCTTCAACTGCTCTAACACTACTGAGTCAGCCATTTTGATTTTAGCAGCAGGGCAAACAACAATCTTGATGTCTCTTTGAGGACACGTTTGGTCCAGCCAACAACTCTTAGTTTCCTCCAGTCTTTAGACTGCGGGTTTTCACTGTCAAGTTTCTCCTGGTTTGATTTCACTGAGCATTCCCAACTTGAAAAGGATTATCTTATTTGTGAAATATAACTGGGGTTCACTCAAGGAGTCTTCATTTTAGTTAGATTTATTTTTATATGATGCTCCAATCATACAGGCGAAAACCCTCAAAAGAAACAGAAACATCTAAATTAGATTGTGAACTCAACAGGACAAAATACTGTGAAAACTCAAAATACATCTCCACTGATTTAAATCATTTAATTCTACAGTATAATAAATATTAAGCATTTTTATAGTAAAATTACACAAATAAATTAGCATTCTCTATCAATATTTGTTCTGCTTTAACTAATAAACACCAAGTGCATATAAATATATACTTTTTTATTTTATTTTTTTTCATTAAAACAATCAAACAGTTAGAGTCCATGTAAAACAGTATTAGGAGCTTACCGGCTGTCCTTCACAGTTTTTTTAAGATTTGCACAGTTTGCATATGATCAGCACTGTTTGTCACTCATGCTGTGCCTCTCACTCTCTCAAACAAGAGTCAGAGGTCAGCCACATCCTAAAATACACTTTTCCGATTGCCAGGAGATTGACTCCACCTGGTTCTCATCTGTAGCAGGCAGAGCATAAAGAAGCAGCAAAAGGGGAGAGGCGTCCTGGCAGTTCACCAGAACAGCCGTCCTCAACAGAAAGAAGGTTTAAAACATGATGAATGCAATCAGACATAAGAGGAAATGAGTTTAAAGTGTTTCCTGAACTGGCCCATCGTTTCACTGCCGGGTTTAGATCAGAGCAGATATTTTGTTCTTTTCTCTTATTTTAAACGGTTTGGTTCTGTTTGTATCCATGCTGGGTCGTATTTAGTTCCCACCTCAAAGGGAAAAGAAACCCATCATTATTTTAGCTGAAACGTCCACTCCGCAGGCTAATGCTAACTTTAGCTTTATCAAAATATGTCCATAATATCGCTGTAATAAATGACCCAAGCTAGCTGCTGCTGCAGCTAAATGTCACCATGTTGTCATTAGCATGCTAAAGCTACAAAGAGCTGCATTAGCATGCTGATGTTAGCGTGATTCTTTATAAATGCTAGCATTGTAGTGCTAACTTTAAGCTAGCATGCTAATCCCCCACAGGCCCACTCCATCATGAACTTTGTGGTCCGGTACCGTCCAGACGAGCAGCCGTCTCTGCGGCCGCATCACGACTCGTCCACCTTCACCATCAACATCGCGCTGAACAGGAAGGGCATCGACTACCAGGTACCCGACCTCTGTCTGACCCGACCTCTGTCTGACCCGACCTCTGTCTGACCCCTATCTGACCCGACCTCTGTCTGACCTCTATCTGACCTCTGTCTGACCTCTGTCTGACCCGACCTCTGTCTGACCTCTGTCTGACCCGACCTCTGCCTGACCTCTGTCTGACCTCTGTCTGACCCTGTGGTTCCTGTGTTTCGCAGGGCGGAGGCTGCCGGTTCCTGCGCTACGACTGTAAGGTGGAGTCTCCCAGGAAGGGCTGGTCCTTCATGCACCCCGGCCGCCTCACCCACTACCACGAGGGCCTGCCCACCACCCAGGGCACCGCTACATCATGGTGTCCTTCGTCGACCCCTGATGACCCAGGGGGGCGTGAGTCGTGGTGGTGGACCTGAACGCATCATCACCATCAAACGGACAGAAAAAACACGTCACACTTCCCGGCCCTGAACGCATCGCGGCCGAGCTTTCACAATAAGAGTCTTTAATCAGAGGTCACTGTGCTGCTGTACCTGAGTCTCCAGGTGTGTGTGTGTGTGTGTGTGTGTGTGTGTGTGTGCGTGTGCGTGTGTGTGTGTGTTCAGGACTTTAACTCATCAGGGGGCGCTCTGTCACATAGTGACCTGCAGCAAGTTACCATGGTGACGCTCCAGCATCCAATCACCATTTGACCCAAAGAGGTTCTGATTGGACGATCGTTATTATTTATGGGATGTTTAGACTTTACGGTTACCGGGGCAACGCTAGAGGGTTTTATACTGTTGTAAATGTTTAGCTGTGAGGTTCTGGTTCTGGACCGGTTCTGTCTGGAGGACGCAGAACAAACCGCTCTAAGTTATTTGTTTCAAGGAACTGAATAAAGTTTTAGTAAGCTGAGCTGTGATTGGTCGGTTTCGCCCCGACAGTTCGCCGTCTCCAGTTTGTCCTCCATGTTTTCTGCTGGAATATTCCTGGTTTCAGAACCGACCCGCCGGACCTGCTGGTGGAGCCTGGAGCAGCCGGGTCCAGTTCGGTCCGCATTCAGCTCCTCTGGTTCCCCATTGGATCAAAGTTGGATGTTTAAAATGTAAAAAGAAGCAGCTTGGAAATCATTAAATATTCGTTTGATGAGTTAAATATCAAGATTCACAAATGAAATTAACTGAAGTAGCGCCGCGGGTTTCTGGGTTGTGGGTTTGAAACTCATCAGAAATCAACGATGCAGTTCTTTGTTTATACCATGGTTGCAGGTGAAGCGTGATACAAACACAGGAGCTCTGCTGGTGTTTGGAGACCTGCAGACTGACTGAGTAGACTGAGTAGACTGCTAACAAACCATGTGACCACCCACCTGCATAAAGACCTGCATGAAACACCCAACTGAAATTAACTAATCAAAGTAATATTAGCCAGCAGACTAAATGTTTTTCCTCCATGTTTGGTGAGATTATTGAGGCATAAAACTAAATGTTGGTTCTAGATTTCTAGATTTGTACAATGTAAAGCTTTTAAACTTTAGTTTCTCCTCATTTGGGGAAAGGCTTGGACAACACAGCTGTAAATATGGCCCACCCATGGAAATATATTTAATATATTTACAAGGCAAGCTTGTCTCAGAGAGTAATATTTGTAGAAAATCAGAAACTGTTTAGTGTGTTTACAGCTGTTTTTCCCTTAGAACTGTAGATTCTAGGTGATGACGATCTGCAGATCGGCCACCAGGGGGCGGCAGAGGCGCAACTGACGCGCCCGCACGATTCCTTTAGTAAATGTACGTAAATTACGTCACTTCATAATCTGTTCTGGATAGAGAGGATTTTTCATTTAAATGTTCAAAGTATATTTAGGTTTTATTTTTATTAATTTATTCCTCATTGGGGTCAGTAACGGTTTCTGGGACATTCGCGTTTCGTTCAGTTTGACCCCTGCGGCTGCCGTTCAATCAAGATGGTGCTGGAGAAGAAAAGCTCCGGTGAGTTGGTCTCATTTTATCCTGATTAATGAATAACATGACGCTGCAGCAGCTGCCAGGTTTCCGTCAGACCCACCGGCCGGAGGACGGAGCGGATTCCCGCTGCTGTCCCCTTCCTGCGGGGTTCCGGCTGGAAACAGCCGCTCTGCTGCGGACTCCATTAACAAAACCACCAGTTTGAGCTCAACAGCGGCTTAATAAATCATTATAAAGGTTATATAAACTCATTTTACATCCTAACTATTAGTTTTAGTTATTCTACCATACGGCTGGTTTATAGTGTATAAACTGCACATTTATTGAAATAGTTTAACTTTAAACCCTCAGGGGAATCAGCTTGGCGTTTCACTTCAGAAAGTTTTCAGACTAAATTCAACCAAACAGTTTGACCCGGAAGAGCTTTAGCTTTCTCTCAATAGGTAATAAGTTAAGCGTGAGGGTCTTATGGGACGTTTGGTCCAGTAACTGGTGGTCCAGTAACTGGTGGTCCAGTGACTGGTGGTCCAGTAACTGGTGGTCCAGTAACTGGTGGTCCAGTAACTGGTGGTCCAGTGACTGGTGGTCCAGTGACTGGTGGTCCAGTGACTGGTGGTCCAGTAACCGGTTCGTGTGTTTCAGCCCGGGTCGAAGCGGGTCAGCGCAGGGTTCTGGATGAGGCGACCCGGCAAAGGAGGCTGACCCGGCAGCTGGAGGCTCTGGAGAAAGACAACTTCCAGGTTGGTTCTGGACTGGGCCCAGCAGGGGTTCTGGTGGATCTCAATGGTTCCGGACAATAACCGGTCAGTCATTGATGTAACGGACTGGGATCCGATCAGTGACATCATCATCAGCTGGCATCAGGACAAACTGAGGGGTCAGAGGTCAGATCAGGTCTCAGTGATAATGATGATGCCCTTCCTCACTCTCTCTTCCTGTCTCTGTCTCCACTCCAGGATGACCCCCTGACCTCCCTGCCCCCCTGGTCCCACGGCCGACTCCCAGCCTTCAGTGAGACAGAAGAGCCAGGTGAGTCTCCACCTGATGGACTCTGTCCTCCTGATGGACTCTGTCCTCCTGATGGACGCTCTGACCTCCTGATGGACGCTCTGTCCTCCTGATGGACGCTCTGACCTCCTGATGGACTCTGACCTCCTGATGGACGCTCTGACCTCCTGATGGACGCTCTGTCCTCCTGATGGACTCTGACCTCCTGATGGACTCTGACCTCCTGATGGACTCTGTCCTCCTGATGGACTCTGACCTCCTGATGGACTCTGACCTCCTGATGGACGCTCTGACCTCCTGATGGACTCTGACCTCCTGATGGACTCTGTCCTCCTGATGGACTCTGACCTCCTGATGGACTCTGTCCTCCTGATGGACTCTGACCTCCTGATGGACTCTGACCTCCTGATGGACGCTCTGACCTCCTGATGGACTCTGACCTCCTGATGGGACGCTCTGTCCTCCTGATGGACGCTGTGACCTCCTGATGGACTCTGACCTCCTGATGGACTCTGACCTCTTGATGGACTCTGACCTCCTGATGGACGCTCTGTCCTCCTGATGGACGCTCTGTCCTCCTGATGGACTCTGACCTCCTGATGGACTCTGTCCTCCTGATGGACTCTGACCTCCTGATGGACTCTGACCTCCTGATGGACTCTGACCTCCTGTCCGTTCATCTCAGTGTCTCTTTGTCCTCAGAGAAGAAGAGGAGGAAGACGAGGGGCGATCACTTCAAGCAGCGCTTCAGGAAGAACTTCACCACCCTGCTGGAGGAGGAGGTAGCTGCTCTGATTGGCTGATGGTTTTATGCTGCTCTCTGATTGGCTGATGGTTTCATGCTGCTCTCTGATTGGCTGATGGCTTCATGCTGCTCTCTGATTGGCAGAACCTGTCGGAGAGGGCGGAGCCTAACTACCTGTCAGCGGCGGCCCCGCCCTCCTCTTTGCCGCCACGTCTCTTCTGCTGCGTCTGCGGCTTCCCGTCCCACTACACCTGCACCACCTGCGGGGGGCGCTACTGCAGCACCAGGTGTCTGCTCACACACAGGGAGACCAGGTAGGGGGCGCTGCAGAGAGGGACACCTGGTGTCCTCTATCCTGCTCACCTGTCCACCGTCTCTGCAGGTGTCTGAAGTGGACGCTCTGAAGACGCTTCGGACCGGATTGGACCAGATGGACGCTTGGACCGGACCGCAGGACATGTTGGACTGCTGCTGCTGGTCGGAGACGCTGCTCCATGGTTCTCTGGGTCAGGACGCTCCAGAACCTGGACGACCCAGTTGGTTCTGACCCGTCTCTGCCTTCACTGCAGAACCAGAACCACCAGAACCCTGAGGTTCCACAGGAGGTCACCTGAGCTCGTTCCAGTTGGCGGGAACCAGAACCAGAACCGACCCGGATCTCCTGGATGTTTTCATTTCATTTTGTTCTGAAACTGAAATAAATGTTGTTGATTTCTGACCTTTCAAAATAAAATGTCCTGTCTCTAAAGTTGCACTTCCTGTTAGCGCTGCAGCAGCAGCTACTGGCTGACCTCTGACCTTTAACCTGCAGCCAGTCAGAGGTCAGCTCCCGGGCTCAGAGCTCCTGAGGTGTTTACGTCTCCACGGCGTCCTCAAAGTCCACCTGTCCTGGTCACCATGGCAACCGCACCATAAACACCGTCAATCATTACAGTGGACTTTAGATTCGCCTGATGCTTTACCTGCACACACACTCACACACACACTACACACACTCTCACACACACTCTCTCACACCACACACACTCTCACACACACACACTACACACACACACACACACACACACACACACACAGAGACACACACACACTCACACACCACACACACACACACTCACACTCACTACACACACACACTCACACACACACACACTCTGCACACACACTCACACACACACTCTGCACACACACTCACACACACACACACACAGAGACACACACACACACACATCACTCTGCACACACACACACACTCACACACACACACACACTACACACACACACAGAGACACACACACCTCACTCTCTCCCTCCAGCCGTTCGTCTCCGGCTGCAGGACGCCATCGCTGTGAGGAGCCGCCGCCTCAACCAGTCAGTAAGTACCAACTGGGAGCACTGGGCCGGTTCTGGTTCTGGGATTAACTGGAGGTCGGATCCAAACCGGTCTCTGGTTCTGGTCGTTGCTGACCTTCGGGCCGTGAGGCTGGTTTGGAACCAGCAACCCAGAGACTGGTTCTGATGTTGAACCGGGTCTTGAAGGTCAACTCTGGTGTGGGACCGGTTCCGACCCAGATCAGTCTGCAGACAATCCGAAGAGGTCCAACATCTTTCAGAGCTTCTCCTCCGTCTCAGTGACCTTTAACTCTAAAGGTTCTGATTGACTCACGATTTCAGAACCATCAGGTTCTGTTGGGTTCTACTGCAGAACCATTTACTCTGCTCATACGGGACCAGTTTCATCTGGCTTGACTCTTGGTGTGGATCGGAGCTCTAGAATAACCATCCAGAACCAGAACCTGGACCCTGGTTGTCCTGCAGAACCCGGTTCTCCTGACATCAGGTCTGGGTTCAGGTTTCTGGAGAACTTCAGGTCTGATGTAAAACTGATCCAGCTGCTGATCCAGCTGCTGGTCCAGCTGCTGATCCAGCTGTTGGTCCAGCTGCTGGTCCAGCTGCTGATCCAGCTGCTGGTCCAGCTGCTGATCCAGCTGCTGATCCAGCTGCTGATCTAGCTGCTGATCCAGCTGCTGGTCCAGCTGCTGATCCAGCTGCTGGTCCAGCTGCTGGTCCAGCTGCTGATCCAGCTGCTGGTCCAGCTGCTGGTCCAGCTGCTGGTCCAGCTGCTGGTCCAGCTGCTGGTCCAGCTGCTGATCCAGCTGCTGGTCCAGCTGCTGGACTGAAGAAGCAAATACTTTAATGGCTTCAGGTGGAACAGCTAAGCTAACAGAAATGGTGGCTAGCTAACAGGAACAGCAGCTAACTGTTTTAAGGTTTTGTTGGCTCTATTAGCCTTTATTTGAAAGTATTCAGACAGGATAGATGGGGAAGACGTGCAGCAAATGTCACCAGACCAGGAATCAACCCCCGACCAGCGACACGAGGACTAAGGCCTCCATGCGTAGCTCATGCTTTGCCCCTGTGCCATCACAGCACCCCAACAGCAGCTAACTAACAGAAACTGCAGCTAGCCAATAGGAATAGACCAGCTAGCTTATAGGAACAGAGCAGCTAGCTTATAGGAACAGAGCAGCTAGCTAATAGAAATAGAGCAGCTAGCCAATAGGAACAGAGCAGCTAGCCGATAGGAACAGAGCAGCTAGCTAATAGGAACAGAGCAGCTAGCTAATAGGAACAGAGCAGCTAGCCGATAGGAACAGAGCAGCTAGCCGATAGGAACAGAGCAGCTAGCTAATAGGAATAGAGCAGCTAGCCGATAGGAACAGAGCAGCTAGCTAATAGGAATAGAGCAGCTAGCCGATAGGAACAGAGCAGCTAGCTAATAGGAATAGAGCAGCTAGCCGATAGGAACAGAGCAGCTAGCCGATAGGAACAGAGCAGCTAGCCGATAGGAACAGAGCAGCTAGCTAATAGGAATAGAGCAGCTAGCCGATAGGAACAGAGCAGCTAGCTAATAGGAACAGAGCAGCTAGCTAATAGGAACAGAGCAGCTAGCCGATAGGAACAGAGCAGCTAGCCGATAGGAACAGAGCAGCTAGCCGATAGGAACAGAGCAGCTAGCTAATAGGAATAGAGCAGCTAGCCGATAGGAACAGAGCAGCTAGCTAATAGGAACAGAGCAGCTAGCCGATAGGAACAGAGCAGCTAGCCGATAGGAACAGAGCAGCTAGCTAATAGGAACAGAGCAGCTAGCTAGAGGAACAGCAGCTAGTAGCTGCTGGAACATTGCAGCTAGCTAGCCGCTGTGTTCCTCTGCATTCTGGCCCTGATGCAGATTATAGATGACAGATTTACTGATGGAAATATTCTTAATTCAGTGCATCGTCTGACTGTTGGATAATAAATCAGAACTTGTCTCAGGTTTGTGTTGGACCATGAGGACAGACGGGTTTCAGAGTTTTGTTTTCTGGATTGTTTCATTTGCCTGCAGTTTTGATATTTTTTGATGATTCTAGAAATAAAAAAATAAAACTGATGAAATTATCTTTTTATGGTGTTGCTTCCCACAAAACCCAGAGAACAGGAAGTAAACTTTCTCTGTTTCCTGTTATTGACACTCAAACTCATGTTATTAACAGTTAAACTCAGGTTCGGACAAATGGACCGGTTACCGACGGATTCAGAACCAGAACCCGTCCTTCATCGGGTTCAGCTGATAATCTGAGACAGATTTTAGTTTGTTTGTTGGTTTGATTCTCTCTTCATTAGTTTGACCTCCTGACCTTATCCTGTAACCCCGTCTCTTTTCATCAGTCAGTTTCCTTTGCGGTTCTGATCCGGTTTCATTTGCTGCCAGTCATCAGGAGTTTGAACTTTAACCTTCAGGTATCAGTGGAATTATCTCTGTGCTTTGATTAATTATGAAGATAAAAACTCATAAAATGTGATGTAACTCTTTATTCAGTTATTATTTGTTCTGGTGTTTGGTGGTCAGTTGGAGTTGGTTCTGATCGATGGTAGAGGAACCTCCTCTTGCAGAACCAGAACCCTTTGACAATGAAACCAGTTTAATATTTAATGAACACCAAACTTCCTGTTAAATTCATTAATATTCACAGTATTTAGTTTTGGATTTCCGTCTCTGCTTTCCTTCCTGGTTTTTCTTCAGAACCGGATCATCCAGGACCGGTTCTGGATGACCATCCTGTTAACATGAAGCCCAGAAAGCAACAGGCTAATAAATGAGTTATTGAGTCTGATAATTTAAAGAAAATTTCAAATATATTTTTCATGTTTGTATTTTGAAAACCTCAGTTTGTTATTAAGTTAAATTAAATACACGTTTTTAAAATGTCTCCTTTGCTTCCTGTTATGACTGAGATCATTTAAATGTTTTCATTACGAGTTCTCTCATCTGATTGGTCGACCAGCCCAGCAGCTCAGCTGTTGACCAATCAGCTTCTCTGCTGCGTGACCTGGAAGGCAGAGCTAAAATAAATCAGGATGTTTCCAGAAAATCATCAAATGAAATAGTTTCTAATAATTTAAATAAAAAAAATTTTTATTTATGATAAAGAACTTTATGATAGAAAGTTAAAACATTTATTAATTTACATTAATAATTATTTACTGCATTGAGTTTTGGCCCTTTTGGCTTTCCATACCTCGAAGCTTCTGCCTGTGTGAGAAGTTTGGATTGAACTGACCTTTGACCTCCAGTCCATGTTCTGTTCATATGGTGAGACGCTGTGCATGCAGGTGGTTCTGATCGGTTCTGATCAGTCTGCTACTGGACCTTTAACCTTTAACCTGAACCCAGCAGGTCGGTTCAGGCTGGTTTTGATCCGGTCGGTCTGACCCGACCTTTCTTCTTCTTCTCCTCCTCTGTCTGCAGCGCCACCATGAGGTCTATGGGAGGCCCTTCCTCAGAGGAAGCTCCGCCCCCGTTCTTCTCCATCACCAGCCGGCGAGTCCAGGACGAGTTCCTGAAAGGTGAGAACCGGACCGGACCGGAACCAGAACCTCCATCCTGGCCCTGACCTCCGTCTCCTTCCTTCCAGAGCGCCAGAGGAGGCTGGAGTCCCAGAGCGACGCCTCCTCCCCGCTAAGCTCCTCCCCTTCCTCCTCCTGCTCCCCCCTCCGCTCCCCCTCCCCGTATGCTCCGCCCCCTGCCTCCCCTCCTCCCCCCCAGGCAGCCTGACTCCTCCCCAGGTGAGTTTAGACCAGGTGATCTGAACAGCTGTGACCTCTGACCCCACAGACCAAAAGAAAACTTTTCTGTTTGTATTGAATAATTATTATGTTTAATCAGCATAAATATTAACTTTCCGTTTCTAGCTCGCTAAGCTAACTGGAGGAATCCAGCCAATCAGGATCGAGCATCAGAAAAACATTTTCATTTATATTTTAGTTTCATTGAGAAACAAACAAAAAAAACTATAATGCAACATAAAAAGTTTTTTTTTTCATCTTCCAACTTCCTGAGTCTCCCACAGCGCCCCCTGGTGGTGGGAGGCCACTTTGGAAAACACTGATGATCCCCAGATAGAGGGGCCTGTGGGTTCTGGTTCTGTTGGACTCGATCTGGTTCTGACCCGTCTCTGTCCAGGTCTGTCCCTGTCCAGTCCAGAGCTGCTGTCAGAGCTGACCAGGAGACAGACATGTCCTCTGAGACGCGTCCAGAAGCGCAGCGGACTGACCACCGTCTTCTCAGGACGAGGACGACAGGTCTGTCCCCCTGCAGGGCGTCGCTCTGTGTCTCTGCTGTCCACCTGTCTCTGCCGTCCCTCAATGTCCCTCTGCTCCTCCCTCCTGCAGGTCTCTGGCTCCTCCCCCTAGGCTGAGCCAGCCAATAGGAGAGCTGCTGCTCCTCTCTCTACCTCCACATCACAATTTGAGCCAGAAAACTGAACCACTGAGTCCATGGAGCGTCACACACAGAAGCCCCGCCCCATTGTGACCACGTCCGGTTCAAGCCCCGCCCCCTGCGCTGCAAATGTTTTAGTTGTAAAGAGATAAAGATCATAAAGTTTAATTTTGTTATGAAATACATATCTAAAAGTAAAGAATACAGTAAAGTTCAGTGGATGCTGCTCCATCAGAACCGGGTCATGTGACTGCTGTCATGTTTCTACCAACCCAGAACCAAGATGGTGGTTCAGCAGAACCTCAGGTCCGGTTCAGAACCCAACAGAACCAAACTGTTCAGTTATGATTTTATTAACTCTGCCATTCATTCATTAATAAATAGTTCAGCCAATGAATTAATGAGCTGATAAATGAAACAATAAGAAAGGAAATAATCACAAAAAGGGCATAAAGGTATTTTTTAAGGTTGTTCTCAGATGTTAGAATTTATCTTTGCGAGGTCATTGTGGTTCATTTTCACTCTTTTCTACAGAGATTTATAACATTTGGAGAAAAAGTAAACATGCTGAACACTTCAAATGATAAAAAGACTTCTAACAATGTATGAGTTTTAATGGAAATTTGTTTAATTGTGCAATAAATATGTAAAATAAAACGCCCAGGGAAAATTCATTTATTTAAAATCTGTCAATAATGAAGCCACAGATTCACCAGCCAGCTTGTAGTTCCTCATTTAACCACTAGGGGCAAAGCTAACTTCTTACGCAGCCGAGCTCAACCGGAAGTGTCGTTGGTCCACAGTGATCTGTGGCGGCACTCTGTTAGCTTAGCGGCTAGTTTGTGCTTCTGGGAGTCGAAGTGGAGCTTTTCCAGGTAAACTGAACCAAAACCTCTTGATAAAGTTTGATTCCAATCAGGAGAAAATGCTAATGAACGCAGAAAAACGCATGAATCCCGCAAAGAGACGTTTATTCAGCGAGCTCTGTTGCTAAGTAGCCTGTTAGCCTCAGGAGCTAAACTGATGCTAACAGATTGCAGCGGGAATCTCCCTCTTAATAAATGATTTTATCAAACATGGTTTATTGCGTTTTATATAAAATCTGCTGTTAGTTATTGGATGTTTCCAGTTTAACACCTTAATGAAAACAGCCGCGGCTGTTTTCATTAAGCTGTATTAATCTGTGATTATTGATCACAGATTAATAATCTCTGCTTCAGTTTATTAGAACAGATGAGACGTGGTTTTGGTTCCAGGCTGATTAATCTGCAGCTCCTCAAACTGATCATTCAGATAATCGAACAATAATCATAAGTATTAGTTTCAGCTCCTGATGATCACTGATTAGTTATGATCAATATGTTGGAATTGACATATCAGTAAATAATAATGATAAATCTTTATGTTTCAGCTGATGTCTGAAACGTCACAGTGTTTTGGTTTGAACCGTCAGCAGGAGACGGACCAGAGTTTCTGGTTCCGGCCTGGTTCTGGTCCGGTTCTGACTGTGTGTCTCCCTCAGATGGGCGACAGCGACGACGAGTTGGACCGTCGGAGACGGGACAAGTTCAGACGGGAACGCAGCGACATGGAGCGGTCCAGAGAGAGGGAGGAGCGGCGCAGGGACGACTGGGCCGACAGGTCCGAACGCTACAGATCCAGAACCAGGCTGTGACTTCTGGTTCTGGTTCTGGTTCTGACCCGTTTAGTTTACTCTGTGGAGAACCAGAACCAGTTAAAGTCATCTCTGTGTTGAGTTGTTGTGGACCCTCTGATGGTTCTGGTTCTGTGGGTTCAGGGAGTGGGAGCGCGGCAGGGAGAGGAGGCGGGACTACGACCGCGGACGCAGGGACCGCTTCTCGCCGCCGCGACACATCAGCCCGCAGCACAAACGGCTGAGGAGAGACTGGTGAGGTTCTGACTGGTCCTGACCTGGTTTTAACTGACCCGGTTCTGATCCAAAGTGACTCACAGTTGTGACCCAGCATGCTGACGGTCCGTGTGTTTCCAGGGACGACCACCGGGGGGAGCCGTACCGCTACGAGCCGCCCTACGGAGGAGGCGGGGCTCCGTTTCAGGGGGCGGGGCCTCAGGCCTGGCACCACGACTTCCCCCACCTGCACCCCCACCCTGGAGGCCTCCCCCTGCAGGGCAGGTGAGCTACTGCAGCGGGTCAGAACCACGAGGCCGGACCGGGTCAGAACCGGGTCGCAGGTCGGCTCATGGTTTTGTGTTGTGTTCAGGTTGGGGCTGCTGGACCCGGACCTGCCGCCTCCGGGACCGCCCAGCATGAGGAGCTTCAAGGTGAGAAACCGAACATGGAGGTGACCTCTGTGTGACCCCTGGTGGTGACCTCTGTGTGACCCCTGGTGGTGACTCTGTGTGATCCCTGGTGGTGACCTCTGTGTGATCCCTGGTGGTGACCTCTGTGTGACCCCTGGTGGTGACCTCTGTGTGATCCCTGGTGGTGACCTCTGTGTGACCCCTGGTGGTGACCTCTGTGTGACCCCTGGTGGTGACCTCTGTGTGATCCCTGGTGGTGACCTCTGTGTGACCCCTGGTGGTGACCTCTGTGTGACCCCAGGAGTTCCTGCTGAACATGGAGGACAGCGTGGACGAGACGGAGGCGGTGAAGCGCTACAATCAGTACAAACTGGACTTCCGGCGCCAGCAGCTGCAGGACTTCTTCGTCCAGCACAAGGAGCACGAGTGGTTCCGGTCCAAGTACCACCCTGATGACATCACAGCCAGGAGGGCGGAGTCTCTGGCCGCCCTGCAGACCCGGCTGGCCGTCTTCCTGTTCCTGCTGGACAACCGCTGGCTGGACGGCGTCTCTCTGGACATGCAGCACGAGGCGGCCATCATCAAGCTGCTGGACGCAGGTGGGGAGGGGCATTGTGGGTAATGTGGCCCTGCCTGGGGGCTCCTGGGTAACGTGGTCCTGTTGGTCTCTGCAGCTGTGATCAAGATGGAGGAGGGACGGACTTGACCTGCAGGTCCTGGAGGCTCCAGCAGGGGGCGGCGGAGACGCAGCAGAGAAGAGCCAGGCGGCTCCAAAGGAGGGAAGCGGCGGCGCTCAGACGGACGGGACGGACGGCGCTGAGGGAACCAAGGAACCCGACCAGGTCGGAACCAGAACCAGAACCATGAGGCGGTTCACTGCTGACTCTGCAGAATCTCTTCTTCTTCTGTTGTTGAGTTTCTGTAGAACTATAAGCTGAGTTAGTCAGGCTGTCTGCTCCGGTCCACTTCTGTTTATCAGTTTAATTGATTCTGATGGACCTAAAGAAACGGTTTTTATTAACAGTCAATTATTATTGATCATTTATTATCATTTATTATTGTTATCTATTGTTATTTATCAAGTTTTTTCAGAAAACATTGAGATTCAGTTGGAGTCAAAACTGCGAGTCCAACTGGGTGAACCGACAGCATGGAGAACCGGGCCGGGTTTCAGAACCAGATCTAGCTGGTTCTGATCCGGTTGGTTCTGCTGGGTCCGTCAGAACCTCTTGACGGTCTCATGTCGTCTCCAGAACCACGAGGATCCGGGCGGCCCGAAGGAGGAGAGAGAGGAAGAGGAGAAGACGATGAAGAAGGTGAGTTTCATCATCATCCTCATCAGGTGTTCTGGTTCTGACCCGCGGATCCTCCAGGTTCTGAAGGCTGTGAAGGTCATCGGTAACCCCGCCTCTTCCTCTCAGGGCAGGAAGAGGAAGCGCAGCCTGTCGGCGGACAGCGGCGAGGGCAGCGACTCCGACTCCTCCCACTCTGAGAAGGAGGAAGAGGGTCAGTACCCAGAGATGCTGGAGCTCCGCCCTAAAGGTCAGAGGTCACAGTACTCCTGTTGTTTCAGAGTGCCATCCAGAGAGAGGAGGCTCCGCCCACGCCCGCCCCCTGCACCTGACCACCTCCCTGTTCATCAGGAGCATCGCTCCAGAGGTCGCCAAGGCCGAGGTCACCGCCGTAAGAACCGGAACCGGACCCGAACAGAACCAGACTTAAACCAGAACCAGACCTCTAACCCACTTCCTGTCTGCAGCTGTGTCGCAGGTACCCCGGCTTCCTGCGGGTGGCGCTGTCGGACCCTCAGCCAGAGCGGAGGTACTGGTTTTCTCGGCCGGTCGACCCGGTTCCGCCGGTGGCCTTGTCGGGTCAGAACCGGATCAGAACCGTTCTGTGTCGGTGTTGCAGGTTCTTCCGGCGGTGCTGGGTGACCTTGACCGCAGCGTCAACATCAAGGAGACATGCTGGAACCTTCAGAACGTCAGGGTAACCCAGAGCGCCATCAGAACCGTCAGAACCTCCTGAACCGGGCCGCTAACAGCTGGTTCTGCTGTCTCAGCTCAGGGACTGTGAGCTGGCGCCGGTGGTGAACCGGGACCTGAGCCGGCGGGTCCGGACCGTCAAACGGCCCGCACCACCGGCCCGTGGCGCGGAACGACGTCCGGCTGGCGGCGCGCCTCGTCCACAGCCTGGACCAGCGGGGGGCGCTGTGGACCACAGAGGTACGGAACCGCCCGGACCCGACCGGAACCAGAACCCGACCGCTCACACAGAACGCCTCTTCTCCCGCAGGCCAAGACCAACCCGGTTCTGCAGAACATCACCGACTATCTGATCGAGGAGGTCAGCGCCGAGGAGGAGGAGCTAATCGGAACCGCCGGCGCCGACGACGACCCCAAGGCTGCCGACGTTCCCGTGGAAACGGACCAGAACCTGCTGCAGGTGGGCGGGGCCTGTGGGGGGGTGTTGTGTTTGGGTTCTGACCCGGTTCTGTGCTCAGGTTCTGACCCGGTTCTGTGTTCAGGTTCTGACTCTGTTCAGGTTCTGACTCTGTTCAGGTTCTGACTGTGTTCAGGTTCTGACCCGGTTCTGTCGGGTTCTGACCCGGTTCTGTGTTCAGGTTCTGACTGTTCAGGTTCTGACCCGGTTCTGTGTTCGGTTCTGACCCGGTCCTGTGTTCGGGTTCTGACCCGGTTCTGTGTTCAGGTTCTGACCCAGTTCTGTGCTCAGGTTCTGACCCGGTCCTGTGTTCGGGTTCTGACCCGGTTCTGTGCTCAGGTTCTGACTGTGTTCAGGTTCTGACCCGGTTCTGTGTTCAGGTTCTGACCCGGTTCTGTGTTCAGGTTCTGACCCAGTTCTGTGCTCAGGTTCTGACCCGGTCCTGTGTTCGGGTTCTGACCCGGTTCTGTGTTCAGGTTCTGACTGTGTTCAGGTTCTGACCCGATTCTGTGTTCAGGTTCTGACCCGGTTCTGTGCTCAGGTTCTGACTGTGTTCAGGTTCTGACCCGGTTCTGTGTTCAGGTTCTGACCCGGTTCTGTGTTCAGGTTCTGGACCGGTTGCTGCTCTACCTGCGTCTGGTCCACTCTGTGGATTACTACAACTTCTGCGAGTATCCGTCTGAGGACGAGATGCCGCACCGCTGCGGCCTCATCCACATCCGGGGCCGCTGCCGGTGGCCCGCATCACTCCGGCTGAGGGTGAGCCGCACTGCAACACGGCCTAGTCAAAGTACAGCATCAGTAACCTTTACATTTTTCCTGGAGGGTTTCTTTTCATGTTTCAGAAATTGTTTCATCTCCATGTCAACCATGTAGCTGCTAAACACCTGGGTGGACGGAGCCCGCCTTCGAGGCGTAGCTCCTCCCCCTCAGCTCCTTCAGACTAGTCAGCAGCAATTAGCAAGCATCAGCTCAGAGGAACGCTTTGGGGCAACTCCAGGCCTGGAGGGTCTGCTGCAGCTTTTAGATGCATCTCCACTTCAACACACCTGATCCAATAATGACGTCATCAGCAGAACCGGACCAGACTGGACCGGACCGGACCAGACTGGACCGGACCGGACCGGACTGGACCGGACCGGACCGGACTGAGGAGGAGATTCAGCTGTGTTGGACCAGAGAGACGTCTGAGAGTTGCAGGCCCTCCAGGACCAGGACTGCCCCCCCCTGGTCTAAAGGGTTAATAGAGGAGCCATGTTGGAATGACTTCCTGGAGGCGGAGCTTCAGAGAGAGCAGGGGCTTCTTAAAGAGACAGAGGCCCAATTTACTAAATCAATTTTCTGTTTTTAATTTTAATTTAAGGTGACATAGTTATTGATTATGCAATAAAATGGAGCTGTGTGTCTGAAAACAAACATAAATAATCATCAATAAACAAATGTAACTCTGGCTCTTTAAAGTTCAGGAACATTACAGAGGCGCCGCCATGAGGCTCAGATCTCACCGAACGGTTACTGTGATGATGATGATGATGATGAGGGCGGTGCTGTGCTCTGATTGGACAGTGACTGAACACCTGAGGATGTGTGAGGAGCGTCTGGCTCCTCTGTTCTCACTGACGGAGACGCTGAGCGAAGAGGAAGCGGTTCGGCTCGGAAAGAAAGACCCGGAACAGGAGGTACTGTCCACCTGTCTGTGTGTCCACCTGTCTGTGTGTCCACCTGTCTGTGTGCCCACCTGTCTGTCTCCACCTGTTTGTGTGTCCACCTGTCTGTCTCCTGATGTGTCTCCTGTCCCCAGGTGGAGACGTTCCTGGCCTCCAACACTCAGGAGCTCAGTAAAGACAAGTGGCTTTGTCCTCTGAGTGGGAAGAAGTTCAAGGTGAGGCCCCGCCCCTCTCTCTGGTTGCCGTGGTAACTGTGGCTGACGGCGTGTTGTTCAGGCCCCAGAGTTCGTCCGTAAACACATCCTGAACAAACATGGCGAGAAGGTGACCGCCGTCAGACAGGAAGTGGAGTTCTACAACAACTTCCTGTTGGACGCCAAGAGACCCCCCTCCCGGAACACAAGCCCCTCCCACCGCCGGTTCAAGGTACCCGATTGGCCTCTGATACGGGCTAGGCTAATGTTAGCATGCTGTTGGCTGGTTGACCTCTGACCCCTCCTCTGGCTCCGCCCCCAGCCGGTCCTCCAAGCATGGCGGCGTTTCCTGGTCAGTCTCCGCAGCAGCAAAGCCTTCTGGGATATCCTCCAGGCGTCAGGCCGCCGCTGCCCGGATTCCCAGGTAGGTGAGGCTCCGGGTCGGAACCCGAGGGGGCGGAGCCAGGCTGACGCTCTGTTTGGACCTGCAGGTGTTGGACCCCACCTGGCGCCGGGCCAGTTCGGGCCGGGCCGCGGTCACTATGACAACTTCAGAGGAGGAGGAGGAGCGTTTCCAGGGAAACAACGGAGCAGCAGGTACACAGAACCAATCAGAACCGGACCGGCGGTCCGATCAGAGCCGGACCGGCGGTCCGATCAGAGCCGGACCGGCGGTCCGATCAGAACCGGACCGGCGGTCCGATCAGAACCGGACCGGCGGTCCGATCAGAGCCGGACCGGCGGTCCGATCAGAACCTCTGTCTGTGTTTAGGGGCCTGAGGGGCGACCCGCGGTCCATCATCGAGTACAGAGACCTGGACGCTCCGGACGACCTCGACTTCTTCTAGCTTCTACTTTTTTATTCCTGTGAGAGAGAGAGAGAGAGAGAGTGTGTGTGTGTGTGTGTGTGTGGTGTGTGTGTGTGTGTGTGTGTGTGTGTGTGTGTGTGTGTGTGAGAGCAGGACCAACATCATGATCTCATGAGTTTTTCCAATAAAGAATAGAAACTCCAGACCGACTCCTCGTTTCCTTCCTCTGGACTTCCTGTCCATCATCTTCTTTACCATCAGAAATTAGAGATCAATATCCTTTTGGGTCATTGACTGTATTGATCTATTTAGTACCATGAAAACAGTTTAAATGAATAAAGTTTTGGTGTTTAAATATTGTTTGATCTTTATTGACTGCAGCCAGAGCTGTGTCCAGCTGAGCTAGCGTTAGCTTTAAGCTAACTTGGTGCCAAGAAAAGGAAGGAAAATGAAAGCAGTTCACCTTAAATCACTCAGGCTGAAGTTTGAACTGCAGTTAGCTTTCGCTGCTCTGTTTGTAATGATTCTGTAGAAACACCTTGAATAATAAAACAATGTTTTTTCTGTCCAGTTCTGATAACCAAGGAGAATTAGCCGCTCTGCTAGCTACGTCTGATAGCTGCTAGGCTAAGAGCCTGCAGCGTGTTTACAGCTGGGCCACAGCTAGCAGTAGCTATGTGTGGCTAACAGACGTGAGGTTGGAACGAGGGATTCATTCTGCGTGATTCTGAATAAAACCAGGATCAGGTGTGAAGTAAAAATTGTGTTCTTATTTTATTACAGCCAGGAGATTTTAATTATTTCAGTCATTTAACACTAATATTATTAAATGACTGTTAAAACATGGAGGTCAAGGAGTCTCTGCAGAATCAGGTTTCCATTACCATGTAAAAGTTCCTGTTGCTGTCAGTGACTAAAATAAGGCGCAAAAGTTTGTTGACAGATAATAACAGATAGTTTAGGTAAATACAGTAAGATGGAATAATAAGGTCAAACAAATCTCTCCATTGAATGTCAGAAGCTCAGAGAAAATGTTCTAGAAGGTCTGACAATGTTTTTGGTATGGAAAATTGTTCCATTAGCATCCTGAATTTTGGAAACTCCCATATTTTGTACTAGAAGATGTTTGTTAAGTAAATAATGAACTGACCTTTCAGTAAGGAGAGATGCATCCTGTCCATCCTGTGGCTCCATGACTGGGCAGTAAACCTGTTCAACTGGCTCTGGGTCAGGAAGTGACCATGTTGTGTAAAGAATCCTGTATATTGTGAGACTTGCAGCTACTGGGTTCAGCTGCTGCTGCTGCGTTTTCTCCGTTTGCAAACCACAGAGAAATAAAGATCTTTGCTATTTACCAGAATCTCAAGCTGATCTGTTCCACACAGATTAGACTGTTGTTCCACACAGGATTTATTTCTTTGATTGAGAAAAATATTGTTACTATATCCACAAAACAATAAACTGTATATCATCCAGATCTTCTCAGAAAAAAAACGCTAAGCTAAAAAAACTTGACTGAACTACAGAGTAGAAGATGAAATGATAATATAGCTGATAAATAACAGTTTAGTCTGAATTGTGAGGCTGCAAGTTCTGATCTGGAAACAATGAAGACTGAGAGAATAAAACAGATTTAAAATGTTTATTTTGGTTCAGGATGATGTCATCTTTGGGTCTGAACAGAACATTTCATCTGCAGAACATTCATGCTTCACATTGACCAGGAAGTCGCAGCAGTACGGTCTCTCCCTGGTGTGGCTCCTCTGGTGTCTCCTCAGGGAACCGGGCCGGGTGAACATCTTCCCACACTCCTCGCACCAGAAGGGTTTCTCCCCGCTGTGGGTGACCCGGTGGTTCCTCAGGTGGCTGCGGTCCCTGAACGTTTTCCCACAGGCCTCACACGCGTGCGGCTTTTCTCCGCTGTGCAGCAGCTGGTGGACCTTGAGGTTGCTGCGCTTGGAGAAACGTTTCCCACAGTCCTGACAGCTGTAGGGCTGCAGGCGGCTGTGGACGCGCTCCAGGTGCAGCTTCAGGGTTTCCTTCTGGGTGAAGGTGTTCCCACATTGCGGGCAGAGGAAGCTCTGCTCCGCGCTGTGGATGTTCTGGTGTCGCTTCAGGTGGGCCGCCTGGCCGAACGTCTTCCCACACTCGCCACAGCCGTACGGCTTCTCTCCTCTGTGGATCTTCTGGTGTCTCCACAGGCCACAGGCTCTGCTGAAGACCTTCCCACAGTGGGGACAGCAGTGGTGTTTCCCATCCTGGTTCTCAGGTTTCTGGAGGAGACAGAGAGCCAGATGGTTTCCATACATCAGAGCCTGGTTGGTATTATCCAGCTGAAGTTGGTGTCTGATTCAGCCAACCTCCGATTCCATTTGTTCACTACTTTGAGCATATTAATGTGCTATACTTTTAAAAATGTGTAGTGATGGTGGGTTGCCTTCAACCCCCCTGATCTGAGCAGCATGTGTATCACAGCAGGGAGCCACGATCTGAGAGCAGCGAACATCAACAGGAACAAACAGCACTGTTTCAATCAGGCATCAGCGCAGACAGCCCTGCTGAACCCTGGCAGCAGCAGCAGCAGCAGATAAACTGATGACTGGAATCACTACAACACCAGTTCTACTGCTGTTCAGCTACCAGGTTAACCTGATAACCAAGCAAATTAAAACAGCAGTCAGAGGAATACCAGTGGTTTAATAAACAACATCCTCCAGAGCAACTAAAACATGAATCTGACCCAAATCAGCTCGAGCACTGGTTAAACTGGTTACCATTTTAACTAAAGCACCAGTAGAAATGCTCAGTGGTTTGAGGTTTAATCAGGCATCAGAAGGACACCAACATCCTCCACCCACTTGTAACTCAGTAGAGAAGGTCCAATGTTTTAGATATGGGCCAAAAGGTTCAGCTGTTGGAGCACGATGATGTTCAATGAAGTTAAAGCTTTAGTAACATAAACCATAAAACTCACAATTGGACAAGACACACAATTAAGAAAATAAAATTACACTCAATAGAATAAAAACAATATTTGGCCAAGTGCTAAACCTTAATTTTAAATCTATTGGATGACCTGGTAATCTGCACTCCAATCTTTTTAAGCATTGATTTAATTAATCAAATTAAATCCCAATTAATCAAATTAAATCCCAATCAGGTCTCACTGAACATCATTAACATGAGGAGAATTTCCTACACAGCAGTTTGTTGTAATGTCAATAAATAAAACGGTCCGAAAGACAGTGTCCAAAATTTCCAGGAAGCAGCAGGAGAAGGGCGGAGCCTCTGTGACATTCCGCTCTCTGATTGGTCTAAACATTCATGGAACCCAAGCTTCCCATTGGCCAGGCAGACCACCCCGCCTACCCGCCTCTCTATCCTTAAAGGGCCATCCCCGCTTTATGTGGATTTCACCTACATTCTGTCACTAGCGGCGTTTTAATGACCAATTCAGCCAGTGCAGCTAGTGACCTGCCCACGGATGCTGAACTCTGACCTTTGGGTCGGCGGGAACAGAGGGGAGACCCATCTGGTTCTCTTGGGGCGGTTCCGGTTCGGCGGGTCCATTCCGGGTGTGAAATATCCAGCCTGCGGTTCCCAGCGAACTGAGCTTAGAGCTGTGAATGCGCATGCGCACGGAGGGAATGAAGCGGTTCATATTTTCACAATAAAAGCCTCCAGCTGGTGAACAGATTCAGACTCACAACTACAAAGAAAATAGCAAAAATAATAACAGAACCGGTCTGGACCTGCAGCTGGTTCAGAAACTATGAAGCTCTGATCTGATCCAACAGAACCGGTTCGGCAAAACCTGAAGCAACCAATCAGCAGCAGAGTTTCCTGATGATGATGATCACCTTCCTCTCTCTGCTCCTCTTCCTCTCTGGAAGCTGCGGATCAGAACTTCTTGGTTCTGATCCGATCTGGTTCTGGTTCCAGCGACTCGTCTCTCACCAGTCCTCCCAGTAGAGGCCACTGGATTGTTCCTGGTTGGGTTCTGGTCGCCTCCAGTCCTCCCAGTTTCCTCTGGTTTGGGTTGGTGGTCATAATGTTCTGCTGATTAATGGATAATGATCAATAGATGATCAGGTTCAACCCTGTCAGTACCCGCTGTGGCCGCTGGGTGTCGCTGTGGGTCAACATGTGAAGCCTTTGACAGGCAGAACAGAAACAGTTTATTTTTATTAAACATTTTCACAAGAGGCAAACATGGAAATATGAGAGTAAAAAACAGCAAATAAAGAAATAAAAACAGACATCAAACAGACGGAAAAGGTCAAAGGTGAACAGCTGATTTCCTGACCTTTCCATCAGTTTCTCAGCAAGTTGTTCAGGATGATGTCGGTTCTGACCCAAATGGTTCTGACCCAAATGTCTCAGCGTCTCTTTTGAAGATGAAGGAGGAACATTTAGTTTCGACCTGAAAGTTTCCCCAAAACGATGAGAGAAAACGATGAGAAAGACGATCTGTTGTTGAAACGGTCCAGACGTTGGGGTCAAAGGTGAACCTTGGTGGTGAAAGTTCACTGGAAGGAAAAACGTTACTGAGGATTTTAAATGAACCTCTTTAGCTTTAGGGGTCAGAGGGCATTTAAGGTCAGCAGTTCATTTGTTAACCTCTGAATCAGAAAACAAATTTAAAATGAGTTTTTATTTTGTTGGACAGAAAATCTAAAATGATTAGATTCTGATTCGTCCATTTGTTAGAGTTTAACTCCAAACTGAATGTTTGTATAAGATCCAGATATTTACTGTAAGAACTGCAGCAAATCTAAAGCAATAATTCAGGTGAACTAAAGTAACAAAGATTTTCAGAATGGAAATCTGATCATATATTCAGTAAATTAAGGTTAGGGTAGGGTTTTTAAATTAAAGAATTAAAAACACTAGTGTTTTTAATTGTTTTTAATTTTTTAACATTTTTTAATTTACTTTTATTATGAAACTGAACTTTAAGCTTTTCATGAACATTTCTAGGATTTAAAGCGTTTTGGCCTCAGTTTCCTTCCTGAACCATCAAAGTTACAAAACTCATTAAGAATAAAAAAGTTATATTTTATTTTTTATACTTCATACAGATTATATAGAAACAACATTTAGAGCTCAGAGATTAAAAATGAGATTCAGAAATGATGCTCAGTGGTGGCAGGAGCCATGGCGTCATCATAGTCATCTCCACCTGCTGCTCCACCTGCTGCTCCACCTGCTGCTCCACCTGCTGCGGCCCGTCTGGGTCCAGAGGTTCTGGTCCGGCCCGCTGGGCTCCAGCCTGCAGACGGTTTACCAGACAGGTTTTCCTGAGACTCGCTTGTTCCTGCAGACAGTCAGCAGGGGGCGCTGTGCTCACCTGTGGCTCTGTGTCTGAGTTTGTAGATGAAGACGCAGGTGGGGATGAAGTAAAAGATGGAAACTGGAGCGTAGAGGATTTTCCACAGGACTGAGCGAAGAGGAGAAGAAAATGAATCCGGATCTGGATCTGGAGAAGCTGAAAACACAAAACCATCAGAACATTAAAGCTTCTGATCTGTGAGATGAAAATCAGTTGATTCTGATTATTAAAGCACTGAATTATCTGTATTGTTAATAACTTATCATTTATCGGAAACTTTCTGGAGAAAAGTTTTAACGTCTGAAGAGAAACTTCTGGTTCTGATCTCCATTCTGAGATTCTGCAGGATAAACCCGAGCCGCCCTGCAGCTGCTGGGATTAACTGGTCCCACTGCGGTCCTAATCCAGTCCCAGTCTGGTCCCAGTCCGGTCCTGGTCCGGTCCGGTCCCAGTCCGGAATGGGACCGGACTGGAACAGGACTGGACTGGACCGGACCCAAACCAGTCCGGTTCCAATCCGGTCCCAGTCCGGTCCGGTTCTGGTTCAGTCCGGTTCTGGTCCTGTCCATGTGGCTCAGTCTCTGAATTTACATCCTTTTGTTAAATATGTTGTTAAATTATTTACAGATTATAAATTTGAGAATCAAACTCAACACTACATGTAGCTGTGATGCTAATTAGCTGTGATGCTAATAAGCCGTGATGCTAATAAGCTCTGACGCTAATAAGCTGTGATGCTAATTAGCTGTGATGCTAATAAGCTGTGATGCTAATTAGCTGTGATACTAATAAGCCGTGATGCTAATAAGCTCTGATGCTAATAAGCTGTGATGCTAATTAGCTGTGATGCTAATAAGCTGTGATGCTAATTAGCTGTGATACTAATAAGCCGTGATGCTAATAAGCTCTGATGCTAATTAGCTGTAATGCTAATTAGCTGTGATGCTAATTAACTGTGATGCTAATAAGCTGTGATGCTAATTAGCTGTGATGCTAATAAGCCGTGATGCTAATAAGCTCTGATGCTAATAAGCTGTGATGTTAATTAGCTGTGATGCTAATAAGCTGTGATGCTAATTAGCTGTGATGCTAATAAGCCGTGAGGCTAATAAGCTGTGATGCTAATTAGCTGTGATGCTAATAAGCTGCGATGCTAATTAGCTGTAATGCTAATTAGCTGTGATGCTAATAAGCCGTGATGCTAATAAGCTCTGATGCTAATAAGCTGCGATGCTAATAAGCTGCGATGCTAATTAAAACTATCATATTCATTTTGTTGATTATTTTATTATTATTCTACTTTTGATCAAAACATTTTGAAATTTAGTCTTTAATCTGGTTTCTGTTCATTATATTAATTTAAAGTGAAGAATCTCCTGAACTGAAGGTTTTCTGTTTTATTCACCGGCTTGCAAAATGAAACCCAGAAACCAGAGTTTCTCCTTCATGTTGACCCCTGACCTCTGACCTCTGACCGACAGCCATTCGAGTGGAGAGTTTCTGCCTTCCGTGGTGCAGTGGTAGGAACCTTCATCGTCCGTGGAAACGGACGGCAGGGTGAAGGATGGATCCGGTCCCGATGAAGGAGCCGTTTCTGTAGAAAGCAGGTGAGGCAGCGGGCGGGTTCCGGGTCAAGCAGGTCAGAGTGACGTTTCCTCCTGACGTCACAGGAAGAGCCGGAGTCTGCAGGACCACCACTGTCTGCTGCAGGTCTGCAGACAGAGAGTCTGGGTTTGGTTCTGGTGGAGGGGAAGCATCAGCCTGGTTCCTTTCTGGCCAATCAGAGCGGACTGAGCGTCGTGGGAGGAGCCTTAAAGCGACAGCGCAGGCGGTTGGTGCTAACGGCGTAGCTAGTGCCTACCATACACGGTGATCTGAAGCGTATTGCTCCGCCGCATGGTGGCAGACTCACACCAGTAGAGGGCGCTGTCAGACTTCTTGGCCGTCTGCAGTCTGCAGACAGACGCAGAAGAGCGGACGCCCCAGTCTCCCCCGCAGCTGGACGTCTGCCTGCTGATGTCAGAGAAGCGTCTGATGGTCCATCCTGGAGCCGAGCTGCTGCAGCTCAGACTGAACGACTGGTACTCCAGAACCTGAGACCGGTCCGGACTCACGCTCAGAGACGCCGGCTCGGACACGTCTGGGGACAGACATGGACTCTGAGTGGAGACGCTTCCACTCAGTGTCCATGTCTGTCCTCAGACATGGACACTGAGTGGAGACGCTTCCACTGTAGATGTACAGCACATAGATGGTGTTTGACCTCTGATGAGCAGCCAGCTGGTCTCAGACGTGACTCCGTTGATTCTACATGAATATCCTCCTTCATGGACCCTGGAGACGTTACGCAGGACCAGGCCCGCTTCAGACGCCATCTTGGATCCGTCTTTGAAGAACTCGGCATTTGAAACCGGCGTGCTCTTAAGTTGACAGGTCAGAGTGATGTCATCTCCCTCCGTCACAGGAAGGACCGGACCGAGCAGAACCACGTCTCCATCTGCACAGAGACACAGGGACGATCAGCTGACTCCTGTCCAAACAGCGTCTCCTCGACGTCCTGAAGACGTTTTCATCGATCCGGTGGTTTGGTCCGTTTGGACCACAAGCACCATCTGGTGCCGTTTGCTTTTACTTTTAACTTTGTCGCTCCTGTTGGACAGAAATGATGTGGGCGGGACAGAGACACAGGAAGTAAACAAACATGGCCGCCCTGCTTGCTGCAGGTCTTGTTGCTGTTATTAAACTGTAATAAAGCTAAAGCAGCTCCTCCAGTGCAGGTTTGTGATGTTTCTAATGCTGGAGCTTCGTCAGTAAATCTGCTCCAAGCTAAACGACTAAAGTTCTGCAGTCGGCTTCATAAACCCGAGACGTCTCACCAGACCGTCTCAGCTTCAGCCAGGGGCTCGTCCAGCTGGAGGTCTCTGGTTTGGTCCCAGTCAGCTGGATGGTCTGACTGGTTCCCTGAACATCAACATGCGTCTCAGACTCTTACTGGTGACGGTGATGTTGACGGTGTGGCTGCTGTCCCGGTGTCTGGACTCGCACCAGTACAGGCCGCTGTCCGACTTCTTCAGGGTGCGGATGGTGCAGGTGGAGGAGGCCTGACTTCCCCACACAGAGCATGGAGACACCTGCAG